GGGGCAGATCCTTCCCCTGGGCCTCAGTCTCCCCAGCTATGAAACGGGAGCTCTCCAAGCACCTGTGCCAGGCCAGGTCTCTGATCTGTCTATTTGGATGGCCTTGGCCAGCCTACCAGGCTTTGTGAGAGGCCACCCACTAGGACACCAGGAATGCCTCCTCTCAAGACATGAGCCAGGCTCCAAGCCTGGGCCTCTGAGGTGCTCCCAGAGCAGACCTGGTAGCCCCATGGGTGCGGCTTGGGGGAGGTGGGGAAGACACTGGAGCTCAGGAGGGGCGGGACTTACCCAAGCCCAACCAGCAGGGCAAAGAGGCGCTCTAAACCTCCTGGGCCTGAGGAACTGGTGAGGACCCAGTGGGCACAGAGTCCATGCTGGGCAGGGGAGAGGCCAGCAGGGAGCATGGGGGGCCAGGGTGCATGGGGAGGCAGGCTATCACACACCTCCAGTGATTCCAGCTCCCACTGCGCTAGCTGGGCAGGTGCAGGGCATCAAAGAATCTGAGCTGGCTCTTGAGCAGTAAGCCTCTGGATTGCCCTTGACCGGCCTGTGCACTTACTGCTGGCTTACCTGAGAGCAGCTGGGACTGTGGAAACACACTGCTGCCCCCAGCAGGCGGCCTAAATCCTATCATTACCAGTGAGCCCTCAGCAACCAGTAACCTTGGACAGGACAGTTCCCCGTCTCTGAGCCTCAGTCTCCCCATCTGTAATGTCTTTTTAAAAGATTTTATTGGGGAATTGGGGGAGGGGAACAACACTGGGGAATCTGGGAAGGGGAACAGACAAGTTTCTGTCTTTTTGTTCTTTAGTCTAGTTGTGGAGGACATCACTTCACTGGCCCATGTTGATATTATCATTGCGCTCTTCCCGGGTGAGGCAGTCGCTCGCCGGCCATTGGATGGCCGCTCACAGCGGCTCACGAAAGCACACACCAGCTTCCCGCCAGCCCCACTGCAGCCTACGTTGTCGCAGGTGACTCAGGCAGCCCAGCTCCAGGTTGAGCTGTTGTTCACCATCTTAGCTGTAGAGGGCGCAGCGTCATTGGCCCTCATGTGGGATCCAAACCGGGGCCCTGCTGCTCAGAGCTGGCGCCCCAAGCCAACTCCTAACCAACGTGTCACTCGGCCGGCCAGTCCATGTCTTTTTTTACAGGTAGAACTCAGAACTGTCCTATGAATGTGTACAATCATTTACATGTACCCCACCCTTAAAATCTTTATTAGCTTCCTGTTTTCTGATTAGAGAATAGGTTTATGCTTGTAGAAAACACAGACCTCAAACAGTAAAGAGACAGGAAAACATAACCCATAGTCTGGCTGCCCAGAAGTGATGGAGGAGGCGCCCTGGGGAGCACTCAGCCAGGCTTTGTCCATCCTGGGCCAGTATGTCTCAGCTCCTGAGCAGCAGTCCTGTCACACAGGAGGGGCTGGTCAAATCTATTCTGTGAGTCCATCACCTGCTTTTGCCCTCCGGGGAAGCACACAGCCCATGTGCCTTGCTGCATGTCTCTGAGCTGTCACTGCAAACCTGTGGGCAGCAGCTCGATGTCACCTGTAGTGACACCTGTCTCCCTCCTGAAAGCCAAGGCAAGCCTTGTGTGGGCAGGCCCTGACCAGGGAGGACAGCCCCAGAGGCAAATTCTGGGCCCTTGTGGGGAGTAAGCTCCAGGCAGGGACTCCCTATATAAGGTGGTTGGGCTCTTGTTGTGGAGTGGCTGGAAGACCTGTGTGCATGGAGGGTGCCAAACTGCCTGGCAGAAAACATTTTGGGGAAAATTGTTTTCTCCCCCAATACCCAGCTTTTTGGAGCTACAAGCTCAGATTACTTTTTTTAATGCTTTTAATTTTAAAAGGTTTTTAAAAAGAGGCAAGTCCATGAGATCACCTGCTTACATGACTCTTGTCTTGTAATGAACTTTCTGGACTTGGTCCATTGTGAGAGGTTTTTAGGATGAACATCTCATTTGACTATTGAGTGGACATAAAAATGAAGAATATTTAAAGAAAAACAAAAAGCATTTTACAATTCTACAGTTATTATATGATTTGAGGGAAACACACCAACCAGGCTTATGTGCGGTTTCCCCCAGGATACCAGGGCCTGTGTCACTGCATCAGGTCTATTCAGGAATTCTCCCCGGAGCAGGCAATGCTTCATCTAAGCCCTGCGGGAAAAGGAGACCATCAGGCCAGACCCTCACCATCCCCTGTAAATCTCTGGCAGTACATGTGTAAGCCCATTTTACAGAGCAGAACACTGAGGTCCAGGGCTTTCAGACTCCTCCCTGTCCCAGCCTCCCTGGTTCCTTCCCCCAAACTGTGTGCTCCTGGCTGCAAATCCAGATGGGGGAGCAAGTAATGCAGGGAGGCCAAGGCTATAATCAGTTCCTCGGGTGACTGTGCCTCCCTGCCAGCTACCCACATGTTGCCTCCACTGAGGAAGTCATATGCCCTCCCTGATTCACAGACATGGCACAAGCCTTGAGGTTACACAGCACAGAACGGCTCTGTCAGGGCAGGGCATCATGGAGGGCTCCCTGGGGGAGGTGCCTGAGGCCTGAGGGCAAGCAGACACCAGCTTGGCATAGACCAGGCACTGCTCCCAGTCTGGACCAGGATGTGGAGAGCCTGGGCAGCTAGGAGAGGGGACAGGTGGCAGGGTGCTTAAGTTCAAACACTGACAGGTGCTGCATGGCCCAGCTCCATGGTGCTGCCGTATCTTTGACTGGGCCATGGTCTTGCTTGCCTCAGGAGGATGGTAGAACCTTCTCTATTCCTGAGACGCGAACATCATACCCTGGGTATGGAGAGGCTTGTGAGAGCCATGGTTTCTGCCATGGATAGGGAGAGAGGAGAAAGGGCGGGGGTGTGGCCCAGGTGGTCTGTCGTCCATGGTGGGTCAAGTGCCTTCCCCTTTCCGGCCTCAGTTTCCCTCACTGCACATACACAGTCAGCGTTGCTGGCACTCTACAAGATTGTGCCATTCCAAGAGGCCCTGGAAAAGGTGGTAGCCCAGATTAAGGTTCACATCAGCTGAGGTTTCACCTCCAGAACAAGCCCCAGTGCCTCCTGCTGCTTCTGAAGATGGCCTAGGCAGCAAGTGGGTGTTCTGAAGCATGACAAGGCATATGGTTTCCTGTAGCATGTGACAGAGGTCTCAGGCCACCCCCAGCTCCGTAATGGTACAAATGGAGATTGCCATCACATGCTTGAACGCCCAGAACATGTAACCAATCACAGATGGCCAAGAAAACATGCTGTCCCCCCCACCCCTTGATACTGTCTGTTATGAGCTGAACTGTGGTGTCCCCCCATCAAATTCAAGTGCTCAAGTCCTAACCCTCAGTACCTCAGAACATGACCTCTATCGAAAATCGATGCAATCAAGTTAAAGTAAGGTCATTAAGATGGCCCTATTGGGACTGGCGTCCTATAAAAAGTGGAAATTTCGACACAGAGATAGAAATGCACAAAGGGACAAAATGACCATGTGAAGACTGCAGTGATGATGCTACAAGGAACTACCGGAAGCTGGAGAGAGGCCTGGAACAGACCCTTCCTAGTGCCTCTGGAGGGAGCACAGCCCTACTAACACCTTGATCTTAGACTTCTGGCCTTCAGAACCCCTGAGACAACACATTTCTGTAGTCTTCAGGCTGCAAGTCTGTGGTACCTTGTTACAGCAGCCCCAGAAAGCATACCCACCCTAAATGGCCAGGCTTGAATCCAGCATTTGGGGCTCCTGGAGACCTGGGACAGAACGTGGTGGTGTGGGCAGCCTGCAGGCAGCTTCCACCAGCTCCATCCTGCAACTCAAGGGCCACTCCAACCTCCTCTCCCAGTCGTGTCTCTGAGCCTACAGGCAACTGCCCTCAGCACATCGGTGTGCACAGGGGGCCAGACCCAGTGAGAAGGTCACTAGTCCCCTAAGTGGGCTCCTGGCTATTTGGCAGGGAATTCTGGGATCCTGGGTCCCTGAGTGTGGTCTGCAGGGGTCAGGGGTCACTGTGGGCCCTGCAGATTCACCTGGCTTCCTGATATGGCAGATAGGACACACATGCTTGGTTTCACATCAAGGGAATTGAGGAAAGTCATCAGGTGTGGCCCACAAGTCTGAAGTGGGAATAAGATACTATGGGGTGAAACCAACCCTAACCCAAGGAAGGGGGAGACCCCTCACCTATCATACTGAACCTCAGCTTCTATCTGGCTCAGAAAGTCGGTGTGTGTGTGTGTGGGGGGGGCTGCTGGAACAGGGCTCCATGGTCCCAAGAGACCACCTATCTCTTCACTGCCTTAAGCCAGGCTTTTCAAAGCCAGTCCTGTCCACCAGGCCACCTTCCCAGACCTCCTGGGCCAGCCACACTGGTCTGTCCCTCAAACTTTCCCAGTGTTTACATCTCAGGGCCTTTGCATCTGCTGTTTTCTTTGCAAAGACGCCCCTCCCCCGTCCCCCCAGTTCTGCCAGGGGTAGGAGGTCACCTACCCTCAAGAGCTGTCCCGCATGCCCTGCTCAGGTGTCTGTGGTCTGAGATCCTCCTCAGTGGTGTCTTGGGCAGGGTGCTGCGCTTGGGCTGGAAGGGGTGAGGAAGAGGCGGGCCTCTGCAGGGGGAGCAGCGCAGGAGGGGAGTAGCCAGGGTTCGCGGGTGTGTGCGGGTGGGCCCTTTGCCAGACTCCGAGGGTTTGAATCCTGCCCCCATCACCCAGGGTCCATCAGTGTGTATCTACAATATCTACACCCACCTCTGACGGCCTGGCCCACAGTGACACAGATGGAGTCCACCTGTACTGCTCATCGAGGATATCTGGCCAGGGGAGACCAGGCTGGTCAGAGAGGTGGGGGCAGAGGGCACCACCTGTGCAAGGCCCTGGAGGGAGACTTCTGGCTCCGCTGGCTTTGCCCCCTCGGGGATTTGGGCTCCCGCGAGTCTGGCCCCGCCCCCAAGCTCACGGGGAGGGTAGTATTCTGGGAGGGCGTACCCAGGATGCCCGCCCTGCCGGCAGCTGTCTGGACAGTCCTGCGGACCGCCACGGAGCGTGCGGTAATGCATCGGAAGGCCACGACCCTCCGCGGCAGGGCGAGACCCGGGGGCCGCTCAGGGGACGCCATACCCACCCCGGGGAACAGTACAGGTGAATGCCGGGGCCGCGAGCGGGGCTCTGTGCCCTTTTACCAGACGGGAAGGCCTGGGGTGGGGGTGGGGTGCCACACAGCCAGGTCTGCAGGGGTCAGGGGTCACGGAGAGGCGGGAGGTGTACTACCGGGGTGGGGGATAAGGGGGTGCACAGCCAGAAAACCGTGATGGGGTGGGGGGGACGCGCAGCAGGAGACTGACCAGAGGGCGAACCACCCGACCCTCTCCGTCCATCCGGCGCCCCCAGGAAGCAGAAGCCCAGCGGCAAGCGGCCTGAAACCAGGCGCCCGCCTGCCCAGGTGCGCGCCCTTTCGCGGTGGGGGCCGCTGGCTCGGCAGACGCGCCTCGCTGCGGCTCTGGAGGAAGTCGGTAGACGTGGGGAAATCTGAACTGGCCTCGCCTTGCGGGGAGGTGCTCCGGTTGCCTAGCTAGCTCCCCAGCCCCTCTTCACTGGTAGGGAAACTGAGCCTAGAGAGAGAAGCGACTGCCCAAGGTTCCGCGACAGCCGAGCCTCGGGCTGTGGCTCTGAGAGTCTCCGGAAGGAGGGGAGGGCTGGCTATTTTACTTTTCGTTTGACTTCCATTGTGTTCTGAAGAGTTCACCTCCGTGTCCGTGTCTTGGCTCTGGTGTAGATAACGCGTCTGAAGACCCGCTTTCCTACGCCGGATTTGTTCCAAGAATGCGTCTAAAATCTAATCCTTTTAGAAACGCAACCAAACCCAGACCATGTACCCTAGCTGTCCTGGAGGCTCACTTTAGTGGACACTTTAGCGCGAGGGTCTCAGGGCACCTGTGCCCCAGGCCAGACGTAGGGTTGAGCTCTCTGCACAGGTGGAAGCCGGGCCTGGAGGGACGGACTGGCTCAGGTCCTCCTCCCTCCCCCGGGGGCGGGCGGGATGCAGCCAGTCCTGATGGAAACAATGTTGCCTGCCACCTGGATGCACTTGGGGTCTGGCTCCTTCTCAAATGGGGAAACGGGTCCAGGGAGTTAAGTCACCTAGTAGGAGCTGATACCTGCGCTGCCCCGTGGGTGCGTTTATTTTATTTGACACCTCAGGGCAGCCTGATGCACAGTCCCGAACTGGATGCTTTGCCTGAGCACGCTGGGGAGGTGGGTGCAAACCACAGGTGAAGGGACTTGCCCAAGGTCAGCCAAGGCCAGGGGGGAGGGGCTCTGGCATGTTTGCATACAAAAGGTTGTTTGCTGAGGTCTCCTCTGGAGGAAAGAGGGGCTCAGAGTCCCATCCCTGCCCTCTTGCCTGCCCCCGCTTAGCCCCAGCCCTGCTTCTGACCGCTGCAACTCAGCCTCCTTCAGAGGTGAGCCCTGGGGTTCCAGCCCATGAGCGCTTCCCTGAAATTTGAGGTTGGAATCCCCCCTTTGACCTGGGGTGTGTCTTTGACTCTGTGCCTCAGTTTCCATGTGTGCTAAGTGGTGGGCACTGTCTACCTGCCCCCAGGCTGTTGGACAGGACAGGCAGAGCCACCACCCTGGCCTTGGTTGTTATGCTCTGGTGTAACTCCTCCAGACTCCACTACTCCCTTGCCCCGTGGCCCCAGTCTCTTGGGCTGTGAAATGGACGCCCACCTCTCCTTGTGGGGCTGTGAAGGTGATACCAAGCTAAAGTCCAGCTGCCTGCCACTTGCAAAAGTTAAAAATTGAGAGTCATGGTTGGTGGAAAGAAAAGCAGGTATATTCAGAATGCCAGCATTCTGGGAGGATTGCGGACTCCTGTACAAAGGCCACCTCCCCCTGACCAGTCAGAAGGTTTTATAGGCAGGTAAATGGGAAAGAACAGAGGAAAGCAGGCCTCATGGCTAATGGTTGAGAACTCATCTGCTGGCATCTTCTGAGGCCTCAGGTATGCCTCAATGTTATCTTAAATCTCAATTTCCCTGCAAAAAACTGCTAGGGAGTTGTGATCATGGGTCCTGACACCCCACCCTGGCACCTGAGGATTAAAGAAGCTGCTCTTTTCAGGTTCAGATGTTTGTTAATTAACGAGGTAATGGGTAGCCTTGAAAAAGGGAACAGAGCTCTTCAGTTAATCAGTGGGAGGAGAAACAAAGAGGAAACAGCTGAATATCAGGATGGATCCAACTACAAACTAGCTAAGCTTAATGACATTGATCTACCAAATTTCACCCTTACAAAGCGATGGGTGTGAAAGTCCTTTGCAGACAGTTTGGCACTGTCCAAAATGTAGCAACAGGGTGTATGTTTTTCCTCCAATCTGTAAAATCGGCACATAATTCTGCTCTTCCTGAAAGTCAAGCCAGATAGACGCATTGTCCTGAGGTCTGTGTCCTTCTCTCATCTCCCATGCATGGCTAGTGAGGGGCAGGTCCGGGGAGGCTGGCTCAGAGCAAGATTTTAAGTATTTGGTGAATGGCTGACTGGGAGAGGCTAGGTGCCCAGCCCAACATGGAGGGCCCCCTCCCACACAACAGCTTCAGCACTCCCTGATTGCTGAGATTGTCTTGGAATGCGGCCATGTAAGAGGAGGAATTGGGGTTTCAGCGGCCAGAGGTGACCTCCCCCCATGCACACAACACCCTGTACCCTGGAATGACTGCAGGGCAAGGACCCGGAAAGGGGACAGCAGGAGGACCACCGGATGGTGAGGGCATGCTTTGGGCATCCTCTCGGCTTCACTCCCGCAGCCCTGCCATACAGATATCCTGGGCCCATTTCACAGAAGAGACATCAAGGTCTAAAGCAGCGGTTCTCAACCTTCCTAATGCCGCGACCCCTTAATACAGTTCCTCATGTTGTGGTGACCCCCAATTATAAAATTATTTTCGTTGCTACTCTATAACTGTAATTTTGCTATTGTTATGAATCATAATGTAAGTATCTTTTTGTTTTCTGATCGTCTTAGGCGACCCCTGTGAAAAGGTCGTTCGACCCCCAAAGGAGTTGCAACCCACAGGTTGAGAACCGCTGGTCTAAAGGGAGCAGAGGGAAACCGATTGAAGCCTATGTGCCCCGAGGCTGACTCTGGCCTCCTGCCAGGGTACAGGCAGACCTGCTGGCTGAAAGCAGCTGCCAGAGCCTCAGTGTTCTCCCCTGAGAGATTTGGAGTACACTCTTCCTGGCTTGGAATTAGCCTGGTTCTGTTCCGGAGGAGAACATTATTCATGGGTATGAGCTGACCTATCATTAGGGTAGTGCCTGGGAGATTTGGGTCTAGGCTATGGCCAAAGTCCAGGCTGGCAATGGCTCTGAACTCCGTGCCTGCCCTCCATGGGGAGAGGAGATGAGCTCAGCGAGGGCAAGTGTCTTGCCTGAGGACGTGTAATCAGGGCTGTGGGCTTCCTGCATGTGGCTGTCTCCACAGCAGGGGTCTTGGAGGTTCCACTCTATAGACCTCGTGTGTGCACATGTCACCCTTTTGAACTGTCTGAGAAATTCTTTCTGAGGCTTCTCCTTTCCATCTGGGAAAACAGACTCAGAAGGAGGAAGTAACTATTTGGTCGCACAGGGATCAGGCCGGGCACCAAGCTCTGGGTGGGCTGGCCAGTGGCCTGCCTCTCCCCAACGATGGCCAGTGTGAAAGGTAACTTATTTGCCTGGCTCCCAGCTAATGAGGTCAAGGTTTGGGAGCTGTGTGGGCTCCAGGAAGGAGGACGAGAAGAACAGGCCCGTGGTCCAGGTTTCCAGATAAAAGATTAACAAGCAAGACTTGTTCTCACCGCTGCTGGCCAGGCTAGCTGGGGGAGGCTGGAGCTGGGAGCAAGAGGTGTGGGAGGGAGGGGCTGTGAGTGAGATGAGGTGTTGGATATGCCAGGGTGGCCCTGGTGGGCAGGTCTGCCTTCTTCACTGTCCAGTGAGCCCATAAGTGTTGTTTTTGGTTTGTCTCTTATTTACATCAAATCTATTCCCTTTGTTTTTTGTTTCCTCTCATTTGAGATTTATTTGCACATAGTGAAAAAAAGGGGTCCTAAGGGGTACTGAGGAAAAATATCCCCAAGGCTACAGAGTGCATTGGTCCAGCCCAGGAATGGCTAGGGAAATGCAGCACCCAGCGTTCTGCGGTGTGGGGCTGCAGGGGGTTGGGCCGGGCCATGCCCAGGCTGGAGGGGGGAAGGCTGGGGCGGGTGGGTATCTGTGAGGGTTTTCAGAAGGAGAGGGAGAAAGTGTGGTTTGCTTCTTAGGCACCAGTGTGGGGAGGGGCTGTTGGGGGCCAGCAAGGGGTGTCTAGGGGGCCAGGGGTCTTCAGGCTGAGGGATCAGTGAGGGTGTCTGGGGACTCAGCAAAGGATGGTTTGGGGTCCCCAGGCTGGGGATGGGGGCAGAGAGGGTTGTGGGGGGAGGAGCTCAGTGAGGGGTTGGCAAGGGTCTGCAGGCTGCGGGGGCAGTGAGGGGTTTCCCGGGGTCTCCAGAGAGCCAATGTCTATGTGGCTGAAGCCCCCATAAGCCCCTGGCACTATGCCACCTCCTCGCCCATCCTGACGTGGATCACCGGTCCTGTGGAAAGTTCTGATGAGGGTGCTGCTGGGGTGCACCTGAGGCTTTGGGCAGGTCTGTGGGTCTGAGTTTCCTCATTTAGAAAATGGGCTCAGCCTTGAGGAGTTCTTGCTGGCTCTCCAGGCCTAGGAAGGGATGCAGGAGACCCCATCAGGGCTTGGGGGGGACAGGTGGAGGTCTCCCAGGTGCTGTGGACTGGGAGGTTGGGACATGGCCTTAAGCCCCTCCTGGGGAGCCTCCGTTCCTGAGCTCTAAGGTCTCCATGGGGTGGTGTCACTCCTCCCATGGCCCTAGAGGGCTCAGGTCACCTATTTTGCAGGTGGGGAAATTAAGTCTGAGCAAGGCGAGGGCCGGGTCCAGGACCTGGGGCCACAAAGTGGTGGAGCAGAGTCAGACTGGGTACAGAGGGGAAAGGGGGTGTTCTGAGCTGGCCCACCATAACAGAAGTCGACCTCTGGCCCTCCAGGTGGGGGAAGGTTCCAGGAGGTCACACTCACTACAGAGTAGCCCTAAGCAAGGGTTCCTCTCGTC